ATTAATATTTTAATTATCAAACATCACAACAAAATCTAACAGAACTTTAATAAAAATGATAATTTAATCCAATTAATTTAGTCCTTTTTAAAACACTTTTATCTTTCAAGTAATAGTATTGCTGCTAAATTATCCATTTGTCATATAATAAAATTATACTTATTCAAGTAAAAAATATATTAATTTGAATAATTATGCTTATTTCAATGAACTAACGGTAAACGATGATTTCATGCCGCTTGATTCACCCGACAATTTATTAAAATTTCGATTAGAAATTTGTTCTTTCACTGAATTATCCGACTTTTGCTTTTGTACCGAACGATTCTTACGAAATGTGAGAAAAGCGCAAATGCCAATTGCAGCACAGATAGCAGTAACCGTGGATGTTAGCGCTATTATTACCACCCACATCACTCCATTACTCTTCTTATTTATTTCGGGATCTTTAAAGGAAAAGCAAAAAAGGAAGAAAAAAAATTAAAAAAAAAGAAATATTATTGAAATTTCTCTGATCATTCATTCATTTCTTTTTTCTTTGCTATTATTTCCTAAAATAATTAACATAAAATAGTTTGGCAAAACAAAATAAATCAAATTTAATCTATACTTTGCGAATTATTTTTTTCCCCATCCAATACAATAAGCAAATAAACCCATTAAATTTTATCGTTAATTTTTTTTCTTAGCATTAATAAAAAAAAAAAAGAACTAGTAAAATTTACTTCTTGTGCAATCGAAGAAAAACCAAATTCCTTTAATTGACTCCTGAATGATTGTTACGATACATCGATTTCGAACCTGAAACTAATTATTCTAATTGTGATAATTAATCGACAAAAAGAGCTAAAATTAATCTTTAATGGTAATCTCACAGTATACTGAACGATCTTTACTCTTAATGATAGAAAAAAATAATCCTTCATAATTCAGAAGTTTGTCACGCAAACACGTAACTATCGTGTCAGTTATACGTAAATAGAAATAAATACAGTCTAGTCATAATTTTTTCACTTAATCGTTATAGGGTATAGCTATACATGATTATTTGCGCACATGGAAACGCCACATGGAAACTTTAGAAAATAAACTGCTATGCTTGTCTCGTTTTTTTCTAAAGCGTTTTACTCTTTTGTAATTTAACATAAAATATATTACCTGTAACATACCTCACGTAATATATGTTCGAAATCTTCAGGATTATTTACAACCCGAATTCTAAGATTATCCGGCTTAGTTGCAACTTTTTCAAAAGCTTTGGCTAAAAGATTGTCACATTTGGTGTCCAAACTAATAATTGTTAATAATTTATCTTGTGCATCGTGATATGCTTGTTTTGATATGCATTCCATTGAATCGTTACGTGACAAATGCTGTAAGAATATTTTAACTAACATTTAAAATTTATGCATTTTTTTCAAAAAAGATCAATTTAATTGATTTTAGATAATCAAAATTACCAGTAGCAGTTTATTTTCGAGAATTTGCGAGATCGTAGAAATTGTTTCTTTAGATTAATTAGGTCATAGTAATTTAATCAATAGTAACTTGCTTGAACTACTTAAAGTATTCCAAATTTACAGTCTGTCAAATTTCGAAACTATTAATAATTGTTAAATTATAAATGATAAAATAGTTTGATGAAATTAAGGAACATTTCAATTTAATTTAAATCATCTATTGATCATTTGTTTTTGGAATACAAATTGTTAATACTAGAATACAATTCAGAAATTTAATTTAGAAGGATTAATGAACTGTTTGACATTGAATTACTTAATCATTTTCCACTTTGTTAAATGAATTAAATTTAATTCTGTGTGCCGGCAATTTTCAAATTTTGCTAAACTTTAAATATTGCGTCAAATTGTATGACTTACATTGATTCGTACACGATATTGTGCACGACTGTTGATAGCAATCAAACTAATGATGATTGGAAACAACCGCATCGAAATGTATTGAAATACTAAAGTGTTATGCTAATTAATTTAATAACCATTTTTAGCAATGAAAATTTTATCATTCAAAATTGTCAATGACAAACAAATTTACCCTTCAAAATAGTACAATGAATAATGTTATGTGAAAAAATATGTAAAATTTAAAAAATTCGAAAGAATTTTATGTTTTTTTTTGCTTTCAAGCTTTTCATTATTTTTCATTTATTTGCTGTAACATGAGGGCATTTGACATTTATTTGCTGGAAAGTTGTTTTTTCTTCAATTAAAGAAAAAATTAAAAAAAATGAATATGCATTAACGCTATTTGATCATATAAACATCATAATTTCGAAATGATGATTTAAGAATCAAACATGGTAAAATAATTCTTCCGATGATTATTCATTTCTGATTGCATCTAAAAATTCAATAAATATAACTGAACGATCAAACAGAATTGAAATCACAGATCACTTATATGATCTGAGGCTTAAACTGAAAAGCAAAGACGGTGAAGAAAACTTCGGAATTAAATTATCACTGAACTAAGCAAAAAAACTGAAGCATGAAATTTGATTGAAATCATTGTGGTCACAGGAAGCTTTTCATTCCCTATCAGTAATTCATCATTTTGATTATTCAATCAGTCGATAATATTTTGAATCAATAATGCCAATTTTTTCTTAAATTATTGATAGCCTGAATCCTTTTTGAGTATTAATTTGATCATTTAATAATTTTTTGCTGTATAAATTTCTAGATTTTTTGATAAAAAGTTAATTTTGAAAAAAATATAACAATTAATGGATAATAAGTTACTATAATATTGCTTATGTTACTAACGCTATTTGCATTTCGAGTAATAAATTATTGACTAATAACTTTTAGGTTTGTTTTTATTAATAAATTCACTTGCCTAACTTTTCAGACATTAAAATTTCTTTCTTTCAAACGGAAAAGCATGCATTTCTGTTCCATCAAACAAATGAATATCATTTCTTGAATATTTCATTTTAACTTTCTTTGTACCTTAAAGAAATTCTCAATTAACTTTAAATTTATTCTCTTTCTTTTCTCAACCATTTCAGCAATTTTTTTTTTCAAATTTTTAAAATTCCACATTCTGTTTACATTCAAAAAATGTTTTTTCCTTTTCTAATCAGAAATTTGTAAAAATATTCCGAGAAGAAACAGATATAATTAAACATTTTCATAAATATTTTCAGTTTTTAATAGATAGCATTCAATTTTAAAGTTTTAATTTAAA